GGGGGGGGGGGGGGGGGGGGGGGGGGGGGCACGCAGAAGGGAATATATGAGACGTGTTCAGTCTCAAAGGGGATGAAGACGACTAAACGGGACAGGAACGGTGCGTCTAGATATTTCGAGACAGGGAGGAATGGGGGTATTCGTACACGACGGCGGATGTGTGCAGCATGGCAACCCTTAGGCTCGCGTCCTCGCGGATGTACACTAAAATGTGTTGTGCGTACCTGTTGGGGAGACGACTCCGCCTCCTTCGTAAGCGCTTGGGCACCGGCTTCGCGCCGAAGCCCCCCCCACCGAGTTCAGCCTTTATTGCAAGCAAGAACAATGAAAGAACAGGTACCGCAGTTGTAAACAAGGCGAAAAGAGTGTGACACTGCAACGACTCGAGAAGGGTTCGTTCAGCAACCCCCAAAATGGGTATAGATAGACTACAGAGGGCCACGATACTGTCTGAGGTTCACCACGAGAAGGCGAGCGGTTTTGGAGGACGATGAAACGAGATGCGAGACGAGACAGAGGGGGGGTAAGGCACAAACACCGCGAGAGAGAATGTTGATGCGAAAAAGGTGCGACAGTGTTCTTCGTACTGGAAAAAGGTTGAGGAATACACCAGAGGTACGACATTGTTGTTGTCGTTGTCGTTGACGCATGGGAAAACATTAAGACGTCCACCCAAGGTACCATGTTGTTGTTGTCGTTGTCGTTGTTGTTGGAGAAACATGCATCAGAGGTGCGACGTTGTTGTTGTTGGTTTGTTGTTATGGCTGTTGTTGCTGCTGCTAGAGGACTAGTACGAAGGAGTACGGCCGAGCAACGTTCTTGTCATTGTGGGTATGTTGCTATTGCTGTCACCTACCAGCGGGTCATCCTCCCCGGAGCCTTCCCCCTTCCTCCTGCCCCCGTTAGGAGCACCGGGACCGGAGTCCGGGTCGCGGAAAAGGTTGTACAGGCCGTCCTTCATGGCGAACCAGTACCTGGAATATGGCATTCCAAGGGGCAGGGTGGGACGTCAAACACAAAGAAAAGAAGTGGAGGGGGGAGGGGGAAGAGGTGGGATTGCCTGGAGAGTTTCCAATTTCGTGGTGAGACAAGACGAGTCGATACAAATGCATTGTGGAAGGTGGGGGTGATGCATGAATATTGGGTCGCGGGTGGGTTTGGAGAATGTACGTATGCATACGTGATTGAAGACACACGGGTGCGAACAAAACGGGGGGGCGGACAAGTACAATGTGTACCTGCAGAGAGAGAAAAAAGGTTGCAAACAATGCAAAAAAGCGGAAAACGAACGAGACAAAACGGCTTTCCAAAGCATGCAAGGAATCACCATCACACGCAAATTCCCGGTGCGCAGTGCGACAACGAAACTCGAAAGAGATAACATCGAGCCAAAACTGCTGTTTCGACACGGAACAGCAAGCAGACCCCACCTAACAATGCACGCCTCCATTCACGCGGGGCTTCGGCAATCCAGTGCCAGTGCACGAACACATTCACATAAGCGGGCCGGAGCAGTCACTACAAGGATTGAAGACCGAACAATGGCGAGGGTGTTGGAAAACTCTACGAAAGAAGCAAAAAGGGAGAGAACTTCCTTGTTGTGGGAGTTCCACAGTCCCTGGCCGACACACCATTTGGAGATGGCATGTGCGCGTGCTGCCCGTGCCTGGCCCGCGAAATCTTCAAGTGGTCACTCCATCAACCGCCAAGCGTCACGCCATCCATACACACGCGCGCAGACTCAGACACACGAGCAGCAACTGGACGTTTCGTCGTCTCGCTTTGAAAAGCCACAAGGAATCACTAGACACAGGAAACAGAACAAACACACGAAAAACAAGGCAAAAAAAACGTCCCTGGGTCACCTTCTTCCTGGTACGTCGAACATGGTGCACCGAAAGTGGTGTAATAGACTGGCGCGCAGCATCGATGGGACGAAAACAAGACGCAAGATACACGACTACGACATCACAAAGAGCGAGACTCACGAGAGCGGCACCGGGCGGAAGTCGCTGACGACAAGGGAAGACGGCCCGTGCGTGTGCTCCACCCAGTCCCTGATCTCGCCGACGTTGCTCATCGTCGCCGAGAGCGCCACCATCAGCACCGTCTTGGGACAGTTGATCACCGACTCCTCCCACACCTGCAAACAGAGCCGCCAAGCGCGTTTGGATGACGAGGGGCGATAGTTAGGAATATGGAGGAGAAACGATATCAGCACCGAGCAAACATGACACCGGTTTCATGGAGTACAGCTGCGGGTTGTTACTACATGCCTACATGGGATGAATCAGCCAACATGACAGCAGCACAAACAGTGGTGGGCGTTGGTTGTGACCGACTCGTCCTACGCGGGGAAACCATATTGGCGAATGGAAGGGCGGGGGCGCAGACCTGGTACAACAGCACAACAATATTTACAACCGCGTACATGCACGAGATACGTCATGTTTTGACGTACGAAACACACACGACGGTATAACGTTGAATCAAGCGCTAATTTTCCCCTTACCACGCGACCATGGAAGGCAGTCAGTTCGACCAATACGGAAACTAGGGTAGCGACTAAGAGACTGCAGCGACTTGTCCGCTCTCTAGGGGCCGAGAGGCTCCCATGGAAGAGGACCCTATTCCCAGCCTTCAAATGTTTGTTCAACCGACTTCGTCGTCATCAAACAAAGAAAGATTGGCACTAGGCGGTTGCGTGAAGTAACATTTGTTGACGCAGCGAGCGCCATTCTCTGATCGACGCCACCGTCACCAACGTGTGATGGGCACACGAGATCTCCCAAATACAACAGTGTGTTTGTGCATCTATAGTATATCGTTTCAATTCTTCTTTTGAAGGGAAGCCGCATCAAAATCACACACCAAACACACACATTCACAGATCCGTGTGACACACGCACCCGTATTGGTCAATAGCAACGCCTGCAGCAGTGCGTGCATTGGTCCTGCGCCTTGATTTCCGTACCAGCACCGAAAAACCCGCACCGTACCATTTTTCGATTTACCACCAAAGAGTCCTACTGAAAGAAAAAAATGCCATCAGGCACCAAGTTCGCAGCAAGCAGGAGCGCATCTCGCTAAAATTCCAGCGTTTGTCAACAACAATGATCGTCGGTTGTTGCAAGGCAAGAACAAGAGCGACATCATCCCTTACTGCTGCGGGCTGCTTTTGTCGTGTGGTGTTGTGCGTACCGTGCCCCTGTCCCGGTCGTTCATGTAGTGGAACTCGTCGAAGACGACGGCGAACACGTCGTCCAGGTCCCCCGTCTCCTCGCTGTCGTACAGCATGTTGCGGAACACCTCGGTCGTCATCACCGCCACCTACCGCGACGATAGCAGCAACAGCAGCAGCAGCGACGAGGGACTCGATACCAGAGCCATGAGATGCTACACATTCGACCAGGATACCGTCGGCCCTACCATCCATGGCTTCGCTCGAAAACTCTGTGGCGAGAAGCGAAGTGATCCCGTGGTTGTTCACAGCATATTGGTACTACCAACAAGACTCACAAGACCAACAGCAACAAGAGCTCCATTACTTACCTGTGCGTCGCGATTGAAGCTGCTGTCACCCGTGAGCAGACCGACTTTGTCCTCCCCGAACTGCCTCCTGAAGTCCTGAAACTTCTGGTTGGATAAAGCCTTCAGAGGGGTCGTGTAGAAAACCCTGCAAAACAGACAAACGCCGAGAGAGAGAGTTGACTCAGACTGTCCACCTTTGGGATAGGCAACGTCTCAAACTGGGGCCCAGTAACAGACGTCGGGCAAGGTCGCCTGAGGAAAGGGGGGCAAGCGGTCCTGGGGCCTCCCTGCCTTGCATCTGTGGCACAAGCGCGTTCGTCCATAGACAACCAGAAATGTCTTTCACTCCGTGCCTTGAAAAAGTATCCAGAAAGACCGCAGCAGGCGGCTAGCCTTCAGCGCCAGATGTCACCGTGCTTGTTCTTCAGACCACGAAATCACGGTTACAAACGGAAATAAATGGAGCGTGCGGAACACCCACCATGTCGTATTTACGACGGTGTCTCCGAAGTGAATCTTCGGGCGTGCGGACTAAATTGTTTCGTACGAGTCTTAGTGCACGGAAGACGGCGTGGGTTCCTCCGCCACTCTATTCCGCGGCCGATCCAGGGTATCAGACCCTTGCCCTCGACGTTTTTTCAACAACCAGCCCACAAAATAAAACGAAAACTCCGTAATATATCTCTGTGTGATACTCTGCCCTTTCACGTATTAAGCCAACACACAAAAACACACACACCGACAACAAAAACTACGACAGCATGCTAGATTGACCCTGTTCTGCTTGCCTGAGATTTAATGCTAACGCGTAGTACACGGCCAGCTCCCCCACTACCGTCTTCCCGCTGCCCGTGGGGGCCGACACGATGACGTTGTTCCTGCCTGCGAGGCCCCTCAAGGCCTCCGTCTGGAAGGGGTCCAGCTCGAACGGGAAGAGGGCTTGGAACAGTTCCGGTTGCACCTATGCATGGAAGAGCAGAAAAAACGAGCTCTTACTTGAAAAGGCGCTGAAAAATATGAAAAATATGCTTCGAAGTGCATTATGTAATACCAAAAGTTCTGCTGATTGGTTTCGTTCCTACAGTTCTTCAACGTGCCTCCTAGGAATACGGCAAAACCCAACGTGACCGACGCCGCACACCTCAACAATAGCGCCCCCATCCCCCCCCAATTTCCAACTCGCGGCGCCCCCCAAAACCCCAACAAAACCTTCGACGGTCGTGCTTACCGCTCCATCCGGTGTGGCATTGACAATGCTCTGGAGGAGGGGCACCGCAGAAGCGCTACCGGCGACCTCCTGAAGCTCGGTCCACCTGTTCGACCCGATCATTTAAGAAGCCATACCAAAACGTTGAATGTTAGCTACACGGGAGCTGAAGGAGGGAGGGAAATTCTCCGGCAAAGAACTGCGGGAATACAAATGAAAAGTGGAAGCCGACCGAACCGAGCTGGCAGGCCACCTACAGAAAAAAGAGGGGGGGGGGGGGGGGG